CTCATGAATTGAACCAATTTTTAGCAATTTTTGAACTTCCTCTTGAATCACCTTATTTTTGAAAGTTCCTTGCTTTCTTTTCTTTTGCTTGACGGTAGGATATGATGGATCTTCATTCAACTTATGAGTCATGACTTCCGGTGGTATCCCTGTCATGTCAGAATGGGACCAAGCAAAACAATCTGCATTAGCTTTTAAAAATTCAATCAATTTACGTTTTACCTCCGGGCTAAGATTAGCTCCTATGTACACTTTTCTCTCGGGCCAATGTATAAATAACACCATGGCCTCTAGCTCTTCTATCGTTGTTTTGATGTTCTCGTTATCCTCCGGTTCTTGATGGTATCAGGTCTCGAATCCAGATCTGTTTGCTTTTGCTCAGGTGAGGTTGACTCCGTGTTACCCTCACCTAAATTCTGTAATTGCTATTTATCTTCACCCTTAACAGTTGAATCTGCAACGGAATTGATGCTTCTAGATGTTTGTTGATCGCCTCTGATTTGGCATATTCCCCATGGAGATGGGAATTTAATAACTTGATGTAAAGTTGAAGGAACAACTTCCATGTCATGAATCCATGGCCTCCCAAGAATCATATTGTAAGTCATTTCCATATCTACAACTTGAAATTTGGTATCTTTAACGACGCCTTCTGCGAACGTAGTAAGTATTGCCTCCCCTTTTGTTACAACAGTAGAGTTATCAAATCCCGACAAAGTATGCGCCTTTGGAATTAATTTATCCTCCGCTTGCATCTCGCGCAATACTCGTATTAAAACAATGTTTCCAGAATTACCTGTATCAACCAAAACTCGTTTCACGTTAGTGTCATGTACAAGTAAAGATATTACCAGTGCGTCGTTATGCGGAGTTATGAGTCCCTCGGCGTCTGCGTTGTTGAATATAACATTCTCCTCTTCCAGTACATGTCGAGGCCGCTTCTTGTGGGTAATTGTCACTTTTGAAACCTTTTTATATGATACATCATTGATCTCTTCACCTCCACTTATAACATTGACAGTTCTCTTGGGCGAAGGCGGTTTTGGAGGCTCCTGCCTGTTCTTCATGTATGCTTGTTTACCTTTCTCACTGAACAACTCAGTAAGATACCCCTGTTTTAACAAATGATCAACTTCACCTTGTAGAAACCTGCAATCTGCTGTTTTATGCCCATGATCGTTATGAAATTCGCACCAATGATCAGGGTTTCGTCTGTTCAAATTTGATCGCATTTCCTTTGGCCATCGTACCTTATCTCCCATGCTTCTTAAAACAGCCACGAGTTCAGAGGTGCTTACGTTGAAGTTGTAACCACCGAACCTTACCTTTAGACTTCCATCATCGTCTCGTGACCCGCGTGTGTTCCAGTCATTTCCGAACTTCGATGAGGAGCCTGACTCCTTGTTTCTAGGTTTGTGATCGTACCTTTGATTATCTTGCCTTGATTGTGAGTCTTTCCCCGCAGGTCCCATGTATGGCTCGTACCTATTTTTACCGGATCTCTTTTCATTTTCCACACGTCTTGAGCTTACCTTTTCTTCTGTTTTATGTCATAAAATAATGTCTTCTTCAATCCTCATCTTTGTACTGTATCTGTTGTAGACATCATTCCACTTTGTTGCTGGGAATTCTCGAAGGCTTTCTTTGAGTCGCCCCGTGGCTTCTGAACTCTTCTCATTCAAATTACTAGCAAAGGCTATGGCTGCCCAATTGTCAGGTACTCGTGGCAGCGTCATTCTTTCCCGTTGAAATCTATCTACGAACTCTCTAAGCAACTCTGAGTCTCCTTGCTTGATTTTGAAGATATCTTCCATTCGCTTTTCAACTTTTTGAGCTCCCGAGTGTGCTTTGATAAATAAATCTGCAAGCTCAGCAAACGAATTTATAGAATTTTCGGGTAAAAGAAAATACCATGTTAAGGCTCCTTTAGTGAATGTTTCACCGAATTTTTTGACCAAGACCGACTCAATCTCTTGCTTAGTCAAATCATTGCCCTTGACACCTGTTGTGAATGCAGTAACGTGATCTCATGGATCTGATGTACCATCATACTTTGGAATATCAGGCATCTTAAACTTCTTTGGAATTGGGAGGGGAGCAGCACTTGCTTCCATGGTTGTTGGGAATATTTATCTATATCTACTCCCTTGATCACGGGCGGTACTCCAGGTATTTGCTCTATGCGTTCATTTTGCTCCTTAAGCTGTTTCTGCAAGGTTAGTACTAGATTTTGTAAATCAGAGTTAACTGGATTACCTGGGTCTCTCTCTTGTGTTTCACTAGGGGTTCCACCGCTGCCTGAATTAACCAATCCTGAACGAGGATTCTCCAAAGTGTTGTTGTTCGGCGTAGATGTGGGTGGAACAACAGGTAATTGGCTAACAAAAGCTTGAAGAGCTTTATTGACTTGAGAGGCAATAAGTTTTTGCAAAGCCTCATTCATGGTTTCAACATTTTCGAATTGAGCCTGTCCATCTGTGTGAGATCCATCAGGAGTGCCTTCACGAGACCGTCGTGGGGAGCCTCGTGGAGAACCTTGTGGAGAGCCTCGTGGAGAGTCTCCCTGAAATTGTTGGATTGTTTGAATTTTTGGGTTTCCTTGAGTGTTGTCATTATTGTTCGACATGATTGGTGCAATCATGAAAATTAGGTTGAGATATACTTGATTATCTAATTCCCGGTAACAGAACCAATTTGTTTAACCAAAAAATAGGATTTTAGTCAAAGCTAGAATTAGAAGAATCGGGTTACTGATAATCGAAAAAGTAAATAAAGACAGAAATTTTAGAATAGCCAAGTATGAAAGCTGGTAAATCAAAGTATATTTCAATAGTCACCTCCTTTACATTTGTTTGTTTTCCCCCTTTTTATAGCTCTTTTGGGATACGAGCCTTACCTTTGTCCTAATAATGTCATTATGGGCAATTAATGACTTTAAATGTTACGTTATACAATCATATACATTAAATATATATTTTCTAACGTTTCCAATAATTAATACTCATTAAATGCTGTATCTGGGCTCCTTTTTGCTGTCAGATTCATTCCTTTGATTCTTCACTATCTTTGAGTTTTAAATGTCTTGAATAGGTATGAGCGTTGAATTACTTGTATGACTGCTCGCACCCCCTCCATTTAATTTACTCGTATCTGTTGTTGCTCGTATCCGTTGTTGCTCGTATCCGTTAACCAACCTTATTTCTTTGACTGTTTGACCAGTCTATATGTCATGACACGTCGCCATATACATAAATATAATTTTCCCCAATACACTATGTGCATATTAATTCTTCTTCTTTGTCCTTCTGCACAAAAATATCTACAAAGTCAAAAAGTCTTTATGTGGGAAATAATTAGGATTTGTTGTTCAAGAAATTTTAACCTCCCAAAAAAAATCATACATATCGGAGATGTATCTAATTTTTTTTTATCCGCGTCGACACTATAAACTTTTTGATAGGCGAATTTAAGTTGAATATGAATGGATTGAATATTATTTATTATATATTCCTGATAAAATTGAAAATTATTTTGAAAATATTGTAATTATTCTCGGACGATTTGCTATTTATATTTATTTTAATTTTTGGTAATTATAGATATTTTATTACCAAATAAGAATTATGTACAAAAAGTAAAAGTAAAATTGACTGAGAGCTGGACATTCCCCCATCGCAGGTAAAGTAAAACTCCTACAACTCCAAAAACAACTAGACATCAACAAACAATCACAGAAAATTTCAATGACAACTCGGAATTCCTATGTAATAAGCGATATTCATCTTAATATATAATCGTAATGTGCTAATAAGTAGCAAACTCCTTATATAATATATTATGAAATGTTTTGACAATTGTAACATAAAAGTTAACTAAGAAATTTATACTTATTGTTTTTGCAAAATTTCTTGTGAAAAATAATTTTAATTGTACAATTATCAATTTAAAATATACATATGCTTTATTAAACTGTTAGAGTTATTATCTCAAATGCAAATAGTAGATGTGTAATTATTTTTATCTAAGTCACCTAGGTGACATAATAAAAATCTCTTCTCAATATTTTCAATATTTAAATTCAAATATTTAAATTCACAATAGAAATGAAAAACTAAAATATTCAATTTCTTAGTTAAACATATTATTTTGTTTTTTTATAAAAGTATTTTAAAGATTATAAACTATTGAAATATTTTGAATCGAACCAGACTTACTTTTAATAAAATGAGAACCGATTAAAGTCACATATGAAAACTAAATATCAACCGAACACTGATAAAAGAATAAATTTTAATTCTGACTTTTAACATGTATTCCATATTTGTCTGCTGCTAAATACGGAATACATATTACATAAGAAGGCAACTTTCGGATGCATCTGGACGTAGAGTCTGGATGCATGCTTAAAGCTCACTCCACAACAAAAAAAAAGAGTAAATTAATCTAAATGTACTTTCTGGATTCTACTTTTGCGATATTGATTTATATTAATTAGGTTAATGTTTTAGTTGAATATATTGATAGAGATGATTAGGAAACTTTACATTGTTTCTTTCTTTATTGAGTTAGCCGAATATGATCAACAAGCATTAATTTTAAGAACTTACACTTTTTTGTTTAACTTTTAATTAATACTTAACTAAATGTAATTTTTAATATACTAACTATATTATCTTTTATAATTTTATAATTATAGAGATTGGGCACACGCACAACGCGCCTACTATAAGACCAGTGAACGTAAATATGACGAATAGGATGCACACCCTTAGACATTGCTATATTTAAGTCTGCAATGTTGTTCGAGCCATTGACTTCCTTTCATGTGAGAACCTGACTTAATACAGTTGCACGTGTAACAAGACTATTGGAAGGACAACGCAATGCAAAAATACGAATTACAATTAGACCGAACTTAATAAAAAATTACCAAAATCACCATCCAGGCCGTTACACTCGTTAATTTACCTACCCCCCCCCCCCAATGCAGTTGAATCTCCAGCGCACCCCCCCCGCCCCCCAAAAAAAAAAAAAATAGAAGCAAAGAAAGAAGCTTCAACTTTTTGTTCGCACGATTTCTCAAAGGCTTCTGGATCTGTTCGTTCGGTAAGTTAACATTTAAATTAATCCTATTTTATTGTAGCATTAAACATTTCTAGCTGCGTTCATCCGACGTTTTTTTAATGTATTCTATGTGTTCATACAGAATAAAATTGATGTTTTTTAAAAGTTAGAAGAGAAATTAATGTTTGTGTTGTCGTACATTGAAGTTTCATAATTTTTTGCTGGTCGATTTTGAAATTGATCTGAAATTGAGGTTCCGGAAAATGCCTTAGTTCTAATTTGTTCTTTACTAAGTGATTCTGGAATGTGCAAGTTTCTTCTTTTTGTATCGTTGTTTTTTAACATTTTAAGCCGTGAAGATGCAATGTTCTCCATATTTTTTTGGTGAATTTTATGGTTCATAGGGAGGAAATTACGTTTCTGATCTAGTTTTTGTGGTTCGTCTTCTGGTGCATTTGAAGTTTTATATCTAGAAAATGCCTTAGCTTTAAAGGTATAGTCTATTAATGTTTTCTGAAGCTCCAGGTTGATTCTGGACAGTGCTTCACAAGTGTTACAAAGGATAGATTTTATATGCATCTTTTCATTTTACCATGTCGAACTCAAGTTTATTCTTATTTTAAATGTTGCAATTAATATGTTTAGCTGTCTTCACGCAAAGTTCTTTTTAGTGTTTATCGCCAGGTAGGGGTATGGTCTGCGTACACACTACCCTCCCCAGACCCCACTTGTGGTATTATACTGGGTATGTTGTTGTTGTTGTATCGAGGAAATTACATATTATATTATGGTCGATTTGAAACATGACTTGATTTGTATTTGAGGTTTCAAAAATGCCTTAGCAGCTCTAGTTGTATACTATTGATTCTGGGCAATGCTTCACAATTTCTAACAAGGAAGAGATTTTAAATGCATGTTTATTTTGTATGTCTAATCGGAACTGTGGTACATGATTAGATCTCTTTGTGTCTAATGGGAATTGTGGTACATGATTAAATCTCTTTTGGTACATTATTAAATCTCTTTATGGTTTATGTAGGTTGTCGGTTCCGTTTGTATTTGAGTTTTGATTGTTGCACAAATGGAAGAAGACAAGAAGAAGAGGAAGAACAAGAAAAAGAAGAATAAACAGACCAAAGGGATTGAAAATAATGCCGTTGGTGCAGAAGAATCAGCTTCCTCCAATCAGAATCATGCTGCTGAAATACGTTGTGCTGACGCACATATTGATGATACTTCGGGAGCAGATGAGACGCCTAGTAGACATGTTACTAATGGTGCCAAAGTCGTAAGTTTGACTTCTGCAACAAATCATTCTGGTTTATAGGTTTATTTGTTTTCCAAATCTGAGCGGAGTCACGTTTCTAGAACCATATATATGTAGTTTCCATGCCACTTTCTGTTGTATTTTTTTTTTGGTGAATAAAAAAAGGAATTTTTTTTTGTGTTTCATGCGTTCATATTTTAACATCATTGGGTGCTCCAAAAATACAGCCAAAAAAAAGGTTGTCCTATTGATAATTGTCCTTGTGTTAAAAGCTCCAAACTTGTCTCCATGAATTAATCATCAAACGTTGCTTATTAGCTTCTTGCTTCCAGCTAAACTCAATTTAGAAATTGAACTGCTGCACAACAAAGGTTGTGTTGGTTGCGAAGAAAAAGTGGGAAATAAAACTGAGTGTGAGAGAGAGAAATTTTTGAAAACTGGAGATTGTCCAATTCGTAAAGAATATCTTTTTTGCATCATCATCACCTTATATGGTTGAGACTAAATAAGGGCAGAAAATTGTTGATCTAAAGCCCAAAATGCTGCCTTTCACTTCGTCAGAATCCAACTTAGCTTACTTCTCTAAACCCCATACTAGGTTTCCTTATATTCAAAGTTTATGCTAAAATTGCTGCATCATTATTGAGAAAGAATAATAAGAACTTATGTAGTTTTCCTTATGCTTGATCACTGAGAGAATTGGTATTAAAACTTGAAAACCCCGTTATTTTATTTTTATTTGTTGATAAGCGTAGTGACCGGGCCAGCTTGCGAAAGCCCCGTTAGAGAGCAGCATTTTCCTTCTTTCTTTCTTTCTTTCTTTAGTTTCCTTTATGGACAACAATGGAGGTGCAACATTAAATGCCTTTTGTAGAGTGCTTTCTTTTAAACTGTGTAAGTGGGTTTTAATGAAATTTTAACCATAGGTAACAGATTCTTTACATGTCAAAGTTCTATGGAAAGCTGGAAGATTTGGAAATGGAGAGGAGTCCTTGCCCAGTGAAGGTGAAGTTAGTAGGAGAAATTCATGGAAGAAAGAGTGGAAGGAAGAAGAAAATAAGGAGAGAGAAAATGAAAAGAGAGATATTGGAACGTCTTGCGGGAATCAGGAAACGGAAATAAATAAGAGAAGAAAAGAAGAAAAATAAAAGCATAAGGTTTAGAACTAATGCTGCTTGGTGGAGTTTGGTAGGAGTAGAAGTAATTAAAAAATATGTTGAATGCCTTTTTACCTTTATATTTTAAAGCCATCACGAATGGTAACTAAACAGGTTCCCTGCTAACTTTTAAGGAGGCAGATGGATTATATGTGCAGAAAAAGTAATTCATGGGGTCAGTAGCAAAAGAGGGTATGATCTAAGGGGCTATAAAACAACAACAACAAACCCAATTTAATCCCATAAGTGGGGTCTGGGGAGGGTAGTGTATACGCAGACCTTACCCCTACCCTATAAAGGTAGAGAGGCTGTTTCCGATTGACCCTCGGCTCAAGGAACAAGGAGGGGGGGGGGGGGGGGGAGCTACAAAGCACTTCACAATTTCCATTTGCTGGCTGCTATCATTGGAGTCCACTTCTGGCTTTTGCTTGCTTGCTTACTTGTTTGTTGTTCCTTTGTATTACTTCCTAAACGTATTGGGTCCTTGATACTTTCTGATATGTTCTGTTTTCTGTACTCTTGATGGTACAGTCATCTTTAGCAGAAAATGAGAAACACAGTAAGATGGATACAGAGGTGAGTTAAGGCCTCCTTTCTGGGCAGTGTTTTGTACTGCTTTTAGTTATGGGCTCATTATTTGACGATAATTGTATTCTCTATCTCTCTCTGCTCCTTCTCTCTATCTTTATATTTATTTAACTCATAACAAGTAATTGTTTTCTCTATTTTATGGACAGCCCACTTCTCAAGAGAAAATTAAACAATTACAGAAAGAAAAGGATGCACATATGCAAAAAGAGGTACAAGCTGTAAAATCATTTACTTGCGCAGTCTTTACCTGAGTTTACATTCATATAAAATCGCCATATATATTTCCTATCTACATTATAATTGAAGCATCTAATACTTACAGCTGTTTTACAGGCTATTTTTGAGGAGAAACTTAAACAATTAGCAAAGGAAAAAGATGCCAATTTACTGAAGGAGGTAACAAAAACTCTTCGTACAAATTTTGCATCATAGAACCTGTAACTTTCTAATTCATTTTTAGGCGAAAGTTTGGTGCTTAATCAGTTTTAAGATATTATTTCCTTCTTCTAACATTATGGATTTGCCTTGATCTGCAGTCTAACCTTGAAGAGAGGATTAAACAACTACAGACTGAAAATAACAATCATATACATAAAGAGGTATTTTTGAACTGTCCCTGACCCAAAATGGGCACCCATTTCCATTCCAGAGGAAAACAATTGATTTTGGACTAAAATTTAGTGTATCTTTTCGTGACTCAAATATTGGAACTGTGTAGTACTTTTTATGTGTTGTTTGAATTATGCATTTACATTTTCAAAATTGAATTATTCTAGTCCACTTAAATTGTGAATACTGGTCAATTGACCCTTGATGAGCAAAAAAGGACCAGGGGAAGAGGAAGTATCATGCAACAAATTGTACAGAGGTTGCAAATCATTGCTGTGTTGCTAATCCCTCTTCCTATTTATTCTATCTACTCTGAGTTTTGCGCTCTTCTGCGATCTGCAGGCTAGCTTTGAGGAGAAAATCATGCAATCTCAAAAAGAAATTAGCAGTCTCAAGAGGCAAGAGGTAATGGGGAAACATGCATAGATGCATATTGCACTGACAATAATTATGCTTTCTGGAATGTATTATCCACCTAAAAGGTCTTTCTTTGTTTGGTCATTGGTCCTTCTAGAGCAATCAGTGACTTTTTGGACTTTTGCAGGCCGGCCAAGAAGAAAAGATAAGACAACTGCAAATGGAGAAAGATGTCTACCTGCAGAAAGAGGTTCTGAAACTTTTAACATTTTCATCTTCTACTTCTGTGGAGGTGTTCAAAGATATATGCACTTAGGTTTAGGGTGACGCTAAAATATTATCTTTTATTATCATTGGGGCTCCTTGTTCGTCGCCCTTTTACTCAATAAAGAGTCTTTAAAGTTTCGGCCTACTTGACAAGAAGCATGCTCTCTGTAATTTTCAGGCTGAGTTCGAGATGAAGAATTCTCAATTACAAAGTGAAAAAAATTCCTGGCTTCAAAAGGAGGTGATAGCCCCATATGACAACGAACATGTCCTTGTTTATTAGAATCAAGTTGTTTTTTCCTCTCTCTAAGAATATCTATTCATTTTACCTTTACTGGATACAAGCATTGGATTATCATATCCTTTTCTCCACTTCTGCCCCCAATTTTGAGGTTTTCTTTTGAGGCATGCAGTAAGTTTCAGTCTATACCTTGTTCGTTGCAGTCAGGCTTTGAGGAAAGAATTTGTCAGTTGGTGAATGAAGTGGAGAAGTTGAATTCAAAGAGGGTAATGAATCCTGAACTTAGTATTATTAGATCTTTATGTGCTTCTGTTGTTTCACTTGATTGTGGGGGTCTTTTCATCCTATTGACTTTTGTGCAAACCTTTTTAACTTTATGTGTTGTGGAAATTTAGTTATATTTTCTCCTTGATAATTTGATTGGTTCCAAAATTTTCACGAGAATAACTTTAGCACAAATATCAGGTGAGCTTGGAGGAAAAAGTAGAAGAGATGGAGAAGGAAATAGAAAACAGAGTCCAGAAGGAGGTAATCTCTCTTCTATCTAGTAATTTTGACAGGGATTTGTTCCTAATATCCACTGTGCTGATACTTTCAGTTTTTGTTTTTCTGTTGGTTTTTTCTTCTCTTGGTTTTTGGTTCCATTTGGGGCAAAAAAATAACTGAAAGTTGCAAGTTTGGTATTTTGGATTGATTATTGCAGTAAAGGAGATAGAGGATGAAGTTAGGTATTGATTAAAATAGAATCCTTGAGATGGGATAGATTTTAGCCTAGTACCATCTTTCTTGCAGGTTCACTTGGAGGAAAAAAATAGTCAGTTGGTGGATGAAGTGGAAAATTTGAATTCGATGAGGGTAAAGAATTTAAAAGTCACTGTTAGTAAATTCCTATGCACTTCTATTGTTTCACTTGATAGTGGATGTTTTTCTTGCTTTTGACTTCTGTCTCATACCTGTTTACTTTCATGGTGTTTAGCAATATATTTTATTTTCTCCTATAATTTCCTGGGTTACAAAAACTTTTTGGGGATGACTTATAGCATGAATATCAGGTTAGCTTGGAGGGAAAAGTAAAAGAGATAGAGAAGGAAAGGGAGAACTGGTTCCAAAAGGAGGTAATCTCTTATATCTTAATGCTAGTTGTTTTGAGTGGACTTTGTTGCTAGTGTCTGCTATTCAGAGACCTATATTTATCATTTCAGTTGGGGCCAAGTAATAACTAGCATTTAACAAGTTAGGTATTTCGGGTTGCATTGAATGGAATTATGTTATGCATCTCCATTAAGTTGCTATAAAAATTCTGTGAGTAGCGATATGATATGCTTATTTGATGAGGAGAAAAATGAATATGATTCAAGACGCTTGGCAATTGAGAAGAAACATATTCATAAAAATATTTGACTTTAATTAAATGCTCATAGATATAATTATTTAGCAAAAATAAAGTGGACACTGAAGAAATTGTTAAAGAAAAATGAATAACAATTTGAGTCAGATGGTTTTGGAAATACTTGGTGACAGATAAATGTGGTTTCTATTAAGGAGAATAATAAGTTTTCTTGCTCACAAAGCTGTCTGCTATGTAGAGGGAATAAAAGACAAAAAATAACATGGAAGAAGGAATCATGTAAATCATACTTAGCAAGTGCAATGCAGGATGTTCATTCATTTGGGTCTTCCTGTATGATGCCAAAAACTTCTGTATTTCCTTCCTAACAAATTTCAAAAAGTCATTTTTGCTACTCAACATGTACTTTTCTTGTTTTCTTTCATCAAGCGACATTTTCTAAATCGTAACAAGTCATGTTCTGTACATTTGAACCGAAATGTCAGTTTGAAGTGCTACTAAGATGAAACGGTGAGATATAAAAGCTTTATGGCAGATAATGGCAGTACAATTTTCTGTGTGGAAAACCTACTGTACTAATCTTTCTGGATACTGGGTTTTCTTTAACAAGACTGTGTAATAAGGTGGTGCATGCGAGTCAACGTGCACTTAGCAAATCGAACATCAATGAGTTAAAGAACAACTACTAATGTGATTAAGTTTACTGGAACGCAGCAGCAGCTGCTCAGTTTTTTCTGGGCACGCATATAGAGCTTAGTTGGATTAGCACTTCCAGTGGAGTAGAAAATGAGAAAAGAAAATGGTTGACTGGTCTGAGCTACATGGATAAATCTGTTTGATTTTCCTTCGCTAAGCTGCTTGTGAATCAATTGTTGGATTCTCCTCTCAATGCAGTAGCCTTTTTTCAAGAATTTACTTATGAACATAAAGAAGAAAAATAACAGGGGATATAACCTAATTGTTAGTTTTATCTGTTAAGTGCTAGTTATTGTGAAATGCTTCAGTAAGTTCAAAGCATACTCTCTTGTTTTTTCTTGCAGAAATCATTTCGAGAAATAATTTCCAGCCTGAGTGGTGATAATGCACTTTTAGAGGCGCAGGTATGCAGTTCCAGCGACCAGAATATGTGATGATTTTCTTGACTGGATTTCTTTTCCCATCAAACTGTTATAAACCTGCAGATTTCGTTTTAGCATCAATCATACAATGGCTTCTTTGTAAAAAAAGACAGCCCAGTGCACAAAGCATCCCATATTCACGGAAGGTCCGGGGAACCGCCACACCGCAAGGGGTGTGTTGTAGACAGCCTACCGTAATGCAAGCATTAGTGGCTGCTTCCACAGTTTGAATAGTTTGGCATTCCAAATTCCAATGATGGGATGTAACTTTATTGATTGATATGAATTGTGATGTTACTTTTCCTGAATTATTAACCTGTGTTTTCTTAGACCATATGTATTCTCCTTATACATAAAAGTAATTGGGAGTTGTAGTTGAGGATCTAAAATTTTGATCTAAGCTTTGCTTTTCCAGACGGTGTATCCTGAATTTTGTAATGTTGTCCTTATTATGGTTGTTGATGTGTGACATGGTGGAGCGAAATTGATAATCATTGCCTATTATTTCCTAACATGGAAATTAAAATCAAAGCCTGGCAGGTGAAGGAGTTCGAAGGGTTGAGGACCACTATTGTACAAGAAAATCAGGTACTCAAAGAAAATGTACAAATTCTGCAGACACAAGTCTATAACCTTGAGAAGAGTGCTGCAATATCTTATTCACCAACTGGGAGCAAAATGGTTAGTTGTTAATAATCTCTTTCATATAAACCTAGTCCTATTATTTGTTTCCTTCCATTTGTGGTGTACTGCTGGCAGGTGCCAGACCCATAGCACCACTCCTTATTCTTCTTCTGCTCCTCCTCTCTAAAAGCACATTTCATGTTCAACATTCCCTGTGCTCTTTTTGGTGCTTCATGGATCTCCTGTTATATGTCCTCCATGTATCACTAGAATTGCACAGTGGTGCCGGCACACTATGAGGGTGTTTGGATTGGCTTATAAAAAGTAGCTTTTAAGCTAAAAGCCAAAAGCCATAAGTTGGTAATACCCAACTTTTGGCTTTTGGCTTATTTTTGTACTTTTTATGCCTAAAGTAAGTGCTTTTAAGCACTTTTTATCATTGCCAAACACTACACAAACTAAAAAAGTGCTTAAAAGCCAATAAGCCCTTAAAATAAGCCAATCCAAACACCCTCTATACTGCTGCATAAACTAAGATACTTCTAATTTTGTGGGCATGTTCGTTACTAACCTTGGATTTGGCTTTTTTTTTGTAAAGTTTTTGTAAAAACGAAGAATTTAATTCAATTTTCTCTCCTATTTACTACGGCGACGAAGAATCAAATTATCACTATATTTATTTCTTTTTCTACTTCTTCTTCCAAGTGCTGAAGTGCAGGATAACCCCAAGGGTTGTGGGTTTTTTTCTACCAATTGGGGCTCTCCCTTCACCATCCCTATAGGGATGGTCTACAGGGTTTATAACTACTCCTCTTACCACAGGACGCTTACCTGCATATATAACGTGACGTATCATGGTTGGGTCGATAGTTCACTAAGATAAAATACGTAGCTAGAGGAATTTTCCTAGATGTCACTTCTATATTTTTGATTTAAGAGAGTGCATAAATCAGGGAACTCTTCCCTTCAGATTTGCAGAAATATTTAGCCCATGCAGGGATAGAAACTTCATATCAGATTTTTAGAATCTTGATCCTACATGAGTAATATGGAAGTCAAACCTGACCGATTTTTACACACTGTCCACTTGGATGCCAATTGGTTTGTGGGGAAGACATTAGGACCAATGGGAAAAATCCCTCTTGAGGCTATTCAAGGAGTGATAGGAAGTAACACAGTGTTGATTTGGCTGGACAACCTCATACGGCATCATGACTCGTAAGGAAGATTGAGATTAACATGTTGAGTTTTTAAATATTAATTAGTAAAAGATCATGATTGAATAAACAAAATAAACATGAGATTGTAGTTTACTTGGCAAGTATTAAGTGACCTACTCGACCATTTTCTATTTGATGATAACTATTAGCATATAAATTACAAACCATTTTTAATGGCACTTAATGTATTTAAGTGATCTTCTGTTTTCACGAAACACATTCAGTGTATACATGCATTCTAATCACATAACATTTCAGTTTGAAATTTAGGGATGTAACCAAAACAAATTTAAATTATGGGTAATGGACAATATATATTAACTAATGATATATCTATGTACTTACAACACATTGTTGCACATTGACATGTTACCATAACCTATTTTGCTTTGTCTTGATGTAGAATACTCTTGAAAATGGGGATCTGAATTCTGAATTAGTAGCTACCCGAGCATTGGTGGACAAATTAGTCAGTGAAAATGCAGAGCTTGTGGAGAAGGTATTAGTAATGAAATTCCACTTATTATTCTCTTACCTGAAGAGTCTTAGATTATGATATAGTCATCTGGATTGGTAACCATTATTTTCTTATATTAGGTGAACAAGTTAAATCTGGAGCTCGAACAAAGAGGTCCAGCAATGGAGGTATCTTCATCTTTAGGATCCGATGCAGTTAGCAGGAGCTCTGGGGCAGCTCATGTTGCCAATGAATCAGCCATTGCGTTAGATATGAGGCCTGGAGCCGTTCAGGATCATGAATTGAATCATGATACAGAGCCAAAATCCAAACCCAATGAAGCAGTGCTGCAGTCAGGTGAAAGGCTGCAATCTGTGGAAGACGCAATCGACAAAGCTGAGAGGAGAAATCACGAGCATGTGGCTAAGATAGATGGCAGTGTTGTTGTAAATTCATCAGAAATCGAGTCTGATGAAATAGTACAAATCCCATTAGACGAGAATGAAGTTCAGTCAGTAGATTTAGAGGCTGCAAAAGTGAATCAGGATGATGAAGAGGTTCCGCTCACCAATGCACCGTTAATTGGTGCTCCATTCCGTTTGATATCCTTTGTTGCTAGATATGTGAGTGGTGCTGATTTGGTTGATAAGAACTCAGCAACCTCAAACCGATAACCTGTAGCTGTAAGTTTTTACACAGTGAAAAGGAGAAGATGACACCAAGATTAAACATGGTCATGTCTCTGAGCTGAATGATATTCTTATTATAGTCTTAGGCTGGATACTGCCCCTTTTTTCTACCAAATTTTTCCATAGGGCTTATAGTTATAAAAGATTGAAATCTTGATTTTGACCGTTTTAAACACATAGCTGAAAGTTTGAAGGAAATGTGGAACCAAATATATGCTAGAGAGATGAGAGTTGCAGTTGGCTAATTTAGCCAGATGGATTTTGTATCCATTTATACTTCATTTGGATGTGTTGCACTATCCCTTTAAGCTTCTACTGCATGGGTGGCTTACATCATTAGTGTTAAAATTTGGGAAAAACTGGGCGAATTCCATAAAAACAAGCATGCCTTTGTGAAATTGGATTCGTATTTCCAATGAAGTAAACAAACAGGCTATAAGTTGAATTGTGAAAAGTATTACAGAACATAGATTATGATCTTTCAAGATTGCCTTAATAGCCCATTGGCTCCTTTCCACTGTTCAAATCATCAAATCAAATGGTAAAATAAGTTTTGGTGGGTAAACTAAACCTAGACATAAAAGTGGGATTGAATTATTCGTTGATTTTACAGAATCAGTCAGATATGGAGAAATGATGTCGGAATTATACTTAAAAGAAAAAGATAAAATTTGCAATTTTGGTAATAGAATGGAGTATGACAAATGCATGAGTAATCATGGTGTTGGACTAGTTGGGCTCCTAGACTTGTTATCTTCAGATGATGGCCTGTTTCCAGAATCTGATTGCTGAATATCCTCAATCATCTGGACAACTTGGTTCATGTCAGGTCTTGTTTCTGGCACTTTTGCCACACAGGTCATTGCAATCTGCAGCATCTGCACCATCTCGTCTTCGATATTTTGAAACTTGATGAGCTCAGCATCAAACACCTCAGCTGTCCACTCCTCCCTGACAACAGACTGCACCCATCTCGGTAAATCTACCACCTCATCATGACCAGGTGGCTGCACTGGTGCTTTGCCAGTAAGGAGTTCAAGAAGCAGAACGCCAAAGCTGTAAACATCGGATTTCTGAGTACATTTCCTTGTCTCGATCACCTCGGGTGCTCTATATCCTGCACTCCTAGATGAGATTGTAGGAGAGCCCATTAGAGGAGTAAGACCAACATCTGAGATGCAGCCACTGTTATCATGGGTGAGAAGTACATTGGATGACCTGATATTGCCATGAATTAATTTCCCACCGGCAACAGAATGGATATGGGCAATGCCACTTGCAGCTCCATGCGCAATCCTTAACCTGGATTCCCAGTCCAGTGTTCTTCCCAACTCTCTGTTGCCTATAATCATAAACAAGGAACAATGAGAAGAAAACACTCTCTTGTACAAACAGTTAGATTGATAATTAGGATTAGCGTTCGACAACTTGCAAAGTTTCTGAATGAATAGGGGCTTTTCTGATTTGCAAGAACATAGTTACCTCATCTCACACTCGGAATATATGATTTCCTGAAAGTTTTAGCTCAGTTGACTTTCTGGTCCAGGGTTAGTCTTTAGAGGTATTCCTAAATACCTGAATTGGTATGACAGCTTAAAGAGTGGGAGGATAAAAGGGAAAGAGAAGGAACTTTACCATGCATTCGAGTGGATAAACTGCCCGCTGGTACATGATCATAGATAAGAAGTTTTTCATCCTTTGAAAAGTAATAAGCACGAAGAGCAACAACATTTCCATGCTGAGCAACGGTGCCAATTATCTCCATCTGTTGTTCAAACTCTCTTTTCCCAACGACAACTTCCTTCAGCCGTTTCACAACGACAGTTGTTCCCTCCTCCAAGATGGCCCTGTAGGTTGTTCCATAACTCCCTTTACCCAAAACCTCAGCTGAGGCTCTCAACAAATCTTCAAGATCAAAATTGAAGGAACAGCCCCCAAAGAAAACCAATTTGTTCTTTTCAGCAGCTTGTACTCCACTACTGAAGTCCTCTGTTTGCTTCGGACTTCCTCCCCCATTAAAGTCTTTTCTTTCCTGAACACCTCTCGTAGTATAATATCGTTTCATACAACACAAGAAAATCAACACAGCTAGACCGAGAATCCCTCCAATACCCCCTGCAACAATGCCAATGATAACCCCCGTGCTTAAGCTCTTCTTGCCTTTTAGCTTTTCAGGAATTGTTGGAGAGGATGGCAGGACACTTGGGGAACGAGATAGTGGAATTGGACTCAAAGGTGGAAGTGAAGGGAATGGAGAGGGTGAAGGTGCAAAAGAAGGGCATCGAGTCAAGGGTGGTCCACATAATAGAGAATTTCCTTGAAATGAAGAAGCAGGAAACTTTGCCAAGGATCGTGGAATTGAACCATTAAGTTGGTTGTTACTCATATTCAATTGCCTAAGCCTTGGCAGGTTTACACTAGGAATGGATCCTGTAAGCGAGTTGTTTTGTAGGTTTAAACCAGTAAGACTTGTCAAATTTTGAACTGTTGTTGGAATTTCTCCTGAGAAGGAGTTGAAAGAGAGATCAATGAAGTTGAGCTGTGGAGAGAGAGAGGAAGGGATCTCACCAGAAAGTTGGTTTTCTTGGAGAAATATGAAACGGAGGGAAGGAAGAGAGGTGATGTCTGAAGGAAGATTTCCCTTGAGCCCGTTGGAATGAAGGCTGAGGGTTGTTAGTGCATCCAGTCTTCCTATGGTATTGTCTGGAATAGGACCATAGAGTCCAATAGCAGGAAGCCGAAGTGCAACAACACGAGTTCCATCTGAGTTGCAACTGACGCCATGCCACGTGCAAATGGAAGAGTTAGTGTTCCACGTGAACTTTCTAAGATGAGGTACTGCAGAAGCAAAGTCAAGTAGCGCTTGTCTATCTGAGCTTAGGTCAGCAATAACTTTCGGGGAGAGGAGCAAAAATGGAAACAGAGAAAGAGCAAGCAGAGCTAGTAGCTTTATCATTTTAATAATTTGGAATGAATATGATCTCCAATTTGCTCCCAAGTCAACTCAAGTCTCCATATTGAGTATCATCCATTTGCATCACCTAGCAACGATAGTACCAGCGTGAAACAAAGTTAGAAGGAAATTAAAACACGCACACAATACTGTTGCAGTATGAAATGAGCAGCCAATTCTCATGGTCAATCAAACAAATCAGTAAAGGATCTATTTCTCTTGAATTGATCTTGCTTCATTCTCTGTGAGACTCAGGAAGAAAAAATAGCTTATGCCTCCTAAAGACAACTTAATCCAGACGAAAACTGAAGCTCTCTTATCCTTTGTTATTTTATAACTATCTCATGTCTCTAGAGAGCTAAAAGTTTCTAACACTAAGTTCATACCATTACATAGTCCTCTACCAGTTAAAATCTGCTTAATTCACTTGCTTTTCTGTTTCACCTGAATCTGTCGCAGTATGTCCAAGAGAGTAGCATCCTTAACGGACAGCATGAATTTTTTTTCTTTTTCTTTTCATGTCTTTTTAAAGTGCAGCTGCATATAATAAACTATTGGCCTTCTCATATCAGTTTTTTACTGCATATAATAAAAATAACTCAAGGAAACAACTTAGCACTAGTTTCAAAACCTGAATTTCCTGGAAAGCCTACAACTACAACAACTAGTATGAATCCTCACTTCTCCAATATCAGTTTTTGACAAATGTAGAAAGAGTCCAATACACCAAATGCAAAGGAATTAAGGAAAGGAGAAAGATAAAAGCAAGAGTATACCTCAATTCTTGAAAAATGGTAAGTTCCATGTGAAATCTGAAGCTGGGAATTAAGCGGGGGAGCTTAATTAATAACGGTTGATAATCTTGTGCTTTACAATTCCCCTCTACTCCAACGGCATTTTGTTGAAAGAAAAAAAGTATTATTCTCATAGGCAAGAAAGAGCCAAAATGTGTTTCTTGAAACACCTTTTCTTGCTGGTGGGAAAATTAAAACGTACAGTAGTTGTAACAAAAGAAAAGCCTTTAGAGCTTGTTCGTGAAGCAAACGGAATCTCTTTCACAGATCTCGATATTTTCCAACTACTTCTTATTTATCTTGACTAAACAATATTCAAATGTAGTAATCATTTTCAACCACTTTTCTTTCTGCCATTTAAGATCCAGTTTATGTTTATGTATGTTAAGTGGAAACATTTTCACTGGAACTTGGTTTTGCTTGCACTATATATTTAATAATACTGTAATAATTTAAAGAAACAAAAAGGAAGTGCTCTTTTTGACCTTAATTTAAAATTTGGTCGTTCAAATATATTCACCTAAAATTTCGGCCATAAAAATTCATAAGACATCACTAAGATAGAGAGGGTCGCTAAACATGGTCTAATTTTTCATTCATTCATATTACTCGTTTTTAGTGGTCCTTACGTGACTCAAACTGAGACAAAGGGAGGATTATGCAAATAATATGAAGACCCAAAATCGTATTAATTACTAATGTAGTAGTTAATCCTCCAATATTTTTGTCCTCTTTGAAGAGAGAATTAAATACATATTGCAAGTGCAGCAGGCCAAATTAAGGGCAATGGCTAATGTAGACTGTAGAGGAGTAGCTGAATCATTTATTATTTCTGAAAATTGGTGGGCCCTAGAGAAGGGCCCCACTACTCATAAGGACAAAAGCTTAAGCCGTTGACCATGCAAAGAGTAGTTCAGATTTTGCCAAATAACAACAATGTTAATGTAGTCTGCTTTTGTCCTTTTTTTCTCAACCAAAATTCCTCAGCTAAAACCGAAACAAACAAATTGAAATAGCAGGTTCCGCAGAAAATATAGGTAGAAAAACGTAGAAATGAAACCAGGTAGCTACTCTAAGAGGCTCCTATTTAAGAATTAGTTAGTGCGTCACAAGTTTTAATTTTCAGGACAAAAATATCATGAATTTTAAGACAGTTGTTCCCTCCTCCAAGATGGCCCTGTAGGTTGTTCCAGAAAATATAGATCAATGACCGATTAAGATCGAGACCAACCAGAATCGAGACCGAAGCGAGAAAGGGATCGAAGGGAGCCCGCTAGGTCGAACAACAGAAAACCGAGATATCCGTAATCGGGCAAAGATCGTGGCAGAAATCCTGGCACGTATCGAATCAGGACCGGTTATTTAGCCTATCATGGGATTTGCTTCTGTAATTAGAATTATACCATAAATAGGATTCCTCTACAATATAAGGACGATCCTAATCATTTTTTAACGATCACACATTCACGCATAATCAAGAAATATACTACATTTTTTCTCTTAAAGCTCTCTTAAGTTTTGCTGTTCAGTTAATACCTTTTTAGCATACTCTGTTGTTCGAGGGCGATCTAGCTCGAGGGCCACAGTTGTGCATCACATTGGTTTGGTTTATTTTACTGTTAATTTCTAGCATTAATTCTCATATTTATCATTTTGTTCCAAGTGAAATCATGTATCCTTAAAATCACTTATAAGTTTAATTGTTATCCAATTTTAAGGGTAAACAATTTGGCGCACACCGTGGGGCCGAGGATAATAGTGATTTCCTGGTACAATTTTCGTAACACACACGATTTTACGCTTGTTCATTGAAGTGTCTTTGATTCCAGGATCAACATGTCAAACTCCCAAGTAGCACCAGCACACATAGACAATGGTCCTGGTCTTCATGGCGAGAACGAAAACATAGCCGCCCCAGGAAATGGAGTACCTCCAGTCAACCCCGATGGTACTCCAATCGTGGACCCAGTCAACGTCAGCTCCCATATTGCCATTAATGGGAATTTGGGCGTCGATCCTGAAAATAGCGTCCGTAGAGATGCTCGAACAACTGATCAAAATGCATAGAGCGGTGAAGAAGGCGAGATTAGCCTTCGAATGATATTTGAGATGTTGCATACTCAACAAGCTGCAATAACACAACTCCAAAATTAGAATCGTGCACCAAGCAGGATCGAGCTCGAGCCATCACAAGCCAATGAATGGAAGAGCTCGAGCCATCACAACCTCATAATGACACACTGTTAATATCTGTCCTTATGAATAAAATTCAAGTTAAATGTATTTTAATTGATCCAGGTAGATCGGCCAACATTATTCTATTGAGGGTCGTAACAACTCGGGCTACAAGATCAAATTGTGTCTGCAGTCCGAGTACTTAACGGCTTCAACATAGCGAGCGAAACCACCAAAGGTGAGATTATTTTGCTAGTGAACGTGGCCGAAACCATCCAGGAAACGAAGTTCCATGTAATCGAGGGTGACATGAGGTACAACACCCTGCTCGGAAGGCCTTGGATCCAAAACATGAGGGCGGTACCCTCTACCCTTCACCAAGTTCTAAAGTTCCCGATGTCTGAGGGAGTCAAAAAGTGTACGAAGAGTAGACTGGCGCCATCAATGGAGTGATACCGGTGTCAACACTTTCGTCAGCAACAGGATCGAATTCAAAGGGAAAGCAGGAAGTCAAATAGCAACCATAGTCAGCAGCCTCGGCCCGACCGGAGGAGCAAGGAACTTTCGAGGATGATGACTATATGATACCTCAATCCTTCATAATCCCTGATGATTCTGACGCCACAAAATCAACGGTCGAAGAGCTGGAACAAATCATACTGATCGAGCATCTGCCCGATCGAAAGGTATACTTGGGCACGGGGTTAACTCCCGAGCTCAGGAAAAAACTTATTCAATTCCTTAAAGCTAATATGGATTGTTTTGCCTGGTCCCATCTTGATAAAGACAGGGATCTCACCGGAGATCACTACTCATAAACTAAGCTTAGACCCGAAGTTCCGCCCGGTGAAAAAAAAAAGGAGGCCTCAGTCCGAGGTAAAACACGCTTTCATCAAAGATGAGGTAACCAAACTTCTCAAAATAGGATCCATTCGGGAGGTAAAGTATCCCGAATGGTTAGAACAACTGATCAAAATGCATAGAGCGGTAAAGAAGGCGAGATTAGCCTTCGAATGATATTCGAGATGTTGCATACTCAACAAGTTGCAATAGCACAACTCCAAAATCAGAATCGTGCACCAAGCAGGATCGAGCTCGAGCCATCACAAGAAGTTGTTCATAGAGCCGAATCGGTGCCAAAGAGATTGAATGGAGGAGAATCGGAAATAAATCATGTTATCTTAAAAATGCTCGAGGAACTGATGAAGCGAATCGAGACAGGGGAAAAGAAGATCGAGGAAAATGATTAGAAGGTGGAAACTTATAACTCCAGGGTCGATCAAATCTCAGGGGTACCACCGATATTGAAAGGACTTGATTCCAAAAAGTTCGTCCAAATACCTTCCCCCCGAGTGTGAATCCGAAGCCAATCCCAAAGAAGTTTTGTATGCCCGAGATTCCGAAGTATAACAGGACGACAAATTCAAATGAACACGTCACCTCATATACGTGCTCCATTAAGGGAAATGGCTTGGAAGATGACGAGATTGAATCCGTGTTGCTAAAGAAATTCGGAGAGACTCTATTAAAGGGTGCTATGATATGATATCATAATTTACCACCTAAATCTATTGATTCATTTGCTATGCTTGCAGATTCTTTTGTAAAGGCACACGCTGGAGCCATTAAGGCCGCTACCAGAAAGTCGGACCTTCAAGGTAAGACAGAAAGACAACGAGATGCTCGGGGAATTCATATCTTGGTTCCAAATAGAGTGAATGGATTTGCCACCAGCCACCAACAATCGGGCTGTCCAAGCTTTTACTCAAGATCTCAACGCTGGAAGTTCCGTAGCTTCGCAGCAGTTGAAGCAGAATTTGATCGAATATCCAGTTTCCACTGGGCCAATGTACATAATCGGTATCAGTCGAATATCAGGGTCGAGGATGATCAACTGCGGGCTCCTATCAGTTCGATTTATCCTAACAAGCCAACGGACAGAGTTAAAAGGGACGTCAATCGGTAACCACGATCGAACAAAGACTAATATCAGCCATAGGTGGAGATCGGAGAATTAACGGGCCTGGACGCAACCCCGTTTGAAATGATAGAAGGAATGATCAGGGACAGAGCTCCCGAGGGCTCATGAGCAAGAGTGTTTTCAATAGGGATGTCGGGTCCAAAGAAACACCTCGATTGTCAGAATATAACTTCAACGTAGATGTTTCCGCCATAGTATCATCCATTGGATGTATCAAAGGTACCAGGTGGCCTCGACCTCTGCAGACCGATCCGACCCAGAGAAATCCAAACCAAATATGCAAGTATCATGGTACCCATGGCCATAAAACAGAAGATTGCAGATAGCTAAGGGAGGAAGTAGCCCGGTTGTTCAATGAGGGGCACCTTCAGGAATTCTTAAGTGATCGGGCCAAGAACCACTTTGAAAACAGGGATTTGAACAAATAGAACGAGCAGGAAGAGACACAACACGTGGTTCACATGATCGTCGGAGGGGTCGACATTCCTCAAGGACCGGTATTTAAATGCACCAAGGTGACAATCATAAGGAAAAAGCAAACACGGGACTACTTACCGGAAGAGACTCTATCTTTCAACGATGAGGATGCAGAACGGATCGAGCAACCTCATAATGACGCATTGGTAACATCTGTCCTTATGAATAAAATTCAAGTTAAATGTGTTTTGATTGATCCAGGTAGATCGGCCAACATTATTCGATTGAGGGTCGTAGAACAACTCGGGCTACAAGATCAAATTGTGCCCGCATCTCGAGTACTTAACGGCTTCAACATAGCGAGCGAAACCACCAAAGGTGAGATTATTTTGCCAGTGAACGTGGCCGGAACCATCCAGGAAATGAAGTTCCCTGTAATCGAGGGTGACATGAGGTACAACGCCCTGCTCGGAAGGCCTTGGATCCATAACATGAGGGTGGTACCCTCTACCCTTCACCAAGTTCTAAAGTTCCCGACGTCTGAGGGAGTCAAAACAGTGTACGAAGAGCAGCCCGCTGCCAAGGAGATGTTCGCAATAAATGAAGTGATACCGGTGTCAACACTTTCATCAGCAAAGGGATCGAATTCAAAGGGAAAGCAGGAAGTCAAATAGCAACCACAGTCACCAGCCTCGGCCCGACCGGAGGAGCAGGGAACTTTCGAGGATGATAACTATATGATACCTCGATCCTTCATAATTCCTGATAATTCTGACGCCACAAAATCAACAGTCGAAGAGTTGGAACAAATCATACTGATCGAGC